GTTAACACGTACAGCCCCTTTGTCAACCGCACTGCTGAGCATGGGCACTGGCGGAACCAGTGGGGGGGGGGGGGTGTGGCATGTGTCGGGTGGTGGCGGGTTTAACGACACATTAATATTAACGTGATCTAACCCCCCCAATTTATTTATCTATTATGGATACTGGTCGCGAAAGCCTCCTACGACTACGTGCTAAACTAATGCGGGTTATAGGACCGCTCTTATAATCCCATAAAAGCCAAGTGAAATAGAGAAACCCCGTATAGCCTCAAGGGACTGTCGGGCAAGTGCTGTGAGCGAGCGGCAGCTGTGAAGACTTCCAGCACGGCACACGAGGGGGGGGGGCAACACCACGCCCGGCCGCCTTTGTCTCCCCAAATGCTGACGACGTTTAAACACCACCACCACCAGATATTCATCAGTGACCGCCACGACCGCTCGAGACAAAGATAAAAGTCCCCCGTGTAGCCTTCAACAGAGTGGTGGGGCAAGTGCTGTCAGCGAGCACCTATGAAGGCCGGCACGGCACGTGAGTGGGGTGGGTGGCCAGTACCACGCCCGGCCGCCTTTGTCTCCCCAGTGGCGATGTTTGCATACCGCACCATGCGAGGATGAGGCGGATGATGAGTATGAGGAGTATGATGACGAGGAGTATGAGTATGTGTAGGAGTATGAGGAGGAGGAGGAGTATGAGAGTATGATGATGAGTATGTGTATGAGGCGTATGAGGATGAGTATGATGAGTATGAGAGTATGAGGAGTATGATGATGAGTATGCTGAGTATGTTTAGGAGTATGAGAGTATGAGTATGATGATGAGTATGATGAGTATGTGTAGGAGTATGATGAGGAGTATGTGTAGGAGTATGAGAGTATGATGATGAGTATGATGAGGAGAATGAGCGCTCACACCTTCCTCTCCTTGATGGCCTGCAGGATGAAGGCGCGCTCGCAGTTGGAGAGGGGAACCTCCTTCATGGCGCCTTCTCCTCAGTCGCTCGCCTCAGCTCGTCGGCTCCGGCTCGGCTCTGGCTCTGGCTCGGTTCCGGCTCGGTTCTGACTCGGCTCTAGCTCGGTTCCGGCTCGGCTCCGTCTCAGCTCGGCTCGACTCGCGACTCCAAACTCGCTCGCTCCTCGGCGGCTTCCCCAACCACGTGCGAACCGCGGTGACGTCACGCGCGGGTTGTTAAACTCGCGAGGAGACATGACGTCACCGCGCCGCCTCGCGTGAAGGAGCGCCTTCGGCTCGATGACGTCAGACGTCAGGGCGCGTGCCGCGTGACCGGAGGGTGACGTCGTCGTCGCGAAGGTTTCATTGGGGTTCCTTAGGTTTCATTTGGGTTCCTTAGGTTTCATTGGGGTTCCTTAGGTTTCTACGGGTTCCTTAGGTTTCATTGGGTTCCTTAGGTTTCATTAGGTTCCTTAGGTTTCATTGGGTTCCTTAGGTTTCATTGGGTTCCTTAGGTTTCATTTGAGTTCCTTAGGTTTCATTGGGTTCCTTAGGTTTCATTGGGTTCCTTAGGTTTCTTTGGTTCCTTACTTTTCATTTGGGTTCCTTAGGTTTCATTTGGTTCCTTAGGTTTCATAGGGTTCCTTAGGTTTCATTGGGTTCCTTAGGTTCCTTAGGTTTCATTGGGTTCCTTAGATTTCATTGGGTTCCTTGGGTTTCATTGGGTTCCTTAGGTTTCATTGGGTTCCTTAGGTTTCATTGGGTTCCTTAGGTTTCTTTGGTTCCTTACTTTTCATTTGGGTTCCTTAGGTTTCATTGGGTTCCTTAGGTTTCTTTGGTTCCTTACTTTTCATTTGGGTTCCTTAGGTTTCATTGGGTTCCTTAGATTTCATTGGGTTCCTTGGGTTTCATTGGGTTCCTTAGGTTTCATTGGGTTCCTTAGGTTTCATTGGGTTCCTTAGGTTTCTTTGGTTCCTTACTTTTCATTTGGGTTCCTTAGGTTTCATTGGGTTCCTTAGGTTTCATAGGGTTCCTTAGGTTTCATTGGGTGCCTTAGGTTTCCTTAGGTTCCTTATATTTCATTGGTTCCTTAGGTTTCATTTGGGTTCATTAGGCTTCATTGGGTTCCTTAGGTTTCATTGGTTCCTTAGGTTTCATTTGGGTTCCTTAGGTTTCATTTGGGTTCCTTAGGTTTCATTGGGTTCCTTAGGTTTCATTTGGGTTCCTTAGGTTTCATTTGGGTTCCTTAGGTTTCATTGGGTTCCTTAGGTTTTATTTGGGTTCCTTAGGTTTTATTTGGGTTCCTTAGGTTTTATTTGGGTTCCTTAGGTTTCATTGGGTTCCTTAGGTTTCATTGGGTTCCTTAGGTTTAATTTGGGTTCCTTAAGTTTCATTGGGTTCCTTAGGTTTCATTTGGGTTCCTTAGGTTTCATTTGGGTTCCTTTGGTTTCATTGGGTTGCTTAGGTTTCATTGGGTTCCTTAGGTTTCATTGGGTTCCTTAGGTTTCATTTGGGTTCCTTAAGTTTCATTGGGTTCCTTAGGTTTCATTTGGGTTCCTTAGGTTTCATTTGGGTTCCTTAGGTTTCATTGGGTTTCTTAGGTTTCATTGGGTTCCTTAGGTTTCATTTGGGTTCCTTAAGTTTCATTGGGTTCCTTAGGTTTCATTTGGGTTCCTTAGGTTTCATTGGGTTTCTTAGGTTTATACTGGGTCCTTAGGTCTCATTTGGGTGCCTTAGGTTTCATTTGGGTCCCTTAGGTTTCATTGGGTTTCATAGGTTTCTACTGGGTCCTTAGATTTCATTTGGGTTCCTTAGGTTTCATTTGGGTTCCTTAGGTTTCATTGGATTTCTTAGGTTTCTATTGGGTCATTAGGTCTCATTTGGGTGCCTTAGGTTTCAGTAGGGTTAATTTGGGCTCCTTAGGTTTCATTAGGTTCCTTATGTTTCTACGGGTTCCTTAGGTTTCACTTGGATCCTTAGGCTTCAATAAAATCTTTCAGATTACCGGTAATTTGAACCCTTCGGTATCAATAAAATCCTTATGTTTCATTGTGATCCTTAGGTTTAATTGGAAAACCTTAACATTCAGTTAGATCCTTGGGGTTCAGTGCAGGCTTATTCCAAGCAAATTGGTTGCGTAGACATTAAAATAAAAATCACATTTCTATCCACGTTTTTGCCTTTGGGGCCGTCCATAAATGACGTCACGCACCTAGGGGGGGTGGGGGTTTGAGAATGTGACGTCACATCAAAATGCGCAACTTTAAATAAATAAAGACGACACGTTCTACTTAATTAAATAGACTTTTTAATAAATGTTTTCTCCTACAACATCAGAGTGCAGCGCCACATTAAATACGCACTACAATGACAATAGTTTAAAGCGATTTGAAGCATGTCTTATTTGGGGGGCGGGGGCAGAGCTTTGTGACGTCATTTTTGAGGGTGGGGTCTGACTTTGTGACGCCGTGTGACGAAGGGGGGGGGGGTCAAAAATCGTCCAAAATCGCGTGACGTCATTTATGGACGGCCCCTCTACGTGACAAAGCAAGGGAACGTCCATGATGAATGCCCAACCCAAGCAGCCACCATCTCTTAGTCGAGCGAAAAACAATTCCTATAGCTCCTGCACATTATAAAATGTTATTGCTCCATCTCAACAACAAGCGTCATTCGCCACTATGTGGCGGTGACATCTCCACGACGCTTGTGCCAGGCCATGTGCACCTTGAGGCCACGTGAAGTGTCGAACGCCCGCTGGCAGGTCACGGGGCAGACCCAGGTGCCACGGGTCGACTGAGATGACCGAGATGACTGGCTGATGCACCACCTGTGCCCCCTACTGTGCCAACTTGCTTTAGCCACCCGGCACTCCGCTCGTTGTTGTGAGCGTCGCTCCTCTGCCCTCCGTTGTTGATGCAGGGCGACTGCCTCCAACTGCCCAGTAGCGTCCTCCACAGAGGCCGATCTTGACACTGCTGGTACCAGTCATCGGCAAGTCCACTCAGCTCCACGTCCTCCTGTACCACATCACTCCATCTCTTCTCTAGCCCGTACCGCGCCTGTTTAGCCCCCTCGATCCGGCCGAACAAAATCTGTTTAGGCTTGCGGTGGCTGGGCTACTTGAACCAGCCAATGCAGCCTTGCTTGCCGGAGCTCACCGATGGCACTTTGACCACATCTTTCAAGGATTTGTGTGTCCTCACACAATCCAGCCTGGCTAAACCCAGGATGGATCGTAGGCAGGCCAGCCTAAATGTTTCTAACCGGCAAAGATGCTCCATTAGGAGGGTCCACGTTTCGCAAGTGTAGAGAAGGCAGGGAATGACTGTGGCCAAGACCTGAAGTTTCATGCAGAGCGACAGACCAGGTAGCTTCCACACAGCGTTACGCAACCGATGAAAAGATAATTCTGCTCGATTGATTCGGAGACCTCTGCTGTCAAACTGGAGCCAGGCATGAGCACACAAATTTTATCACTCCATCTCCTCAGAGCACGTACTCTCAAGCATGTTCACTTGAAGACTGCCATTCCGTTAAGTCTCGACCACCAGCCATCATGTGGGACATCTGTGAAAAAGATCTTTATAGCTCATCGGATTCCTCCAGGATATTCTGATCATCAGATACTTCTATTTTATGTACACTGGTCTCAAGTCAATCTCTAACCTTCATGTTCTCCGATTCATGTCATGTGTTTCTCTGTTATTATAATTCCAATAATGCACCTCTCCAGCCAAGTAAAGAAAAATACAAATTTGGATGAAGTTTTAAATCGGTGTGAATTACATTCTCCGACATAAACATTCACAAATAATGAACAAAATCTCAAGTGTGCCAAGAAGCATGGTTGCTTGCTAGGCCACATGCAATTTGTCTTACATAGCTCAGAACCACAAGAGACGAACATTGTCCAGGGCTCATCTGATAGAACCTGAGCTTGGGTACATTCCATATCCTTCCGATATATATCTCATCTCTAAAATATTTACAGTTTTTTATACCAACCATATGTACATTGTTATGGAAACAATAATTGGGAAAACTTAAGATGTTTATGTTTTTATTACTTCAGTATTCATGGAGCCAGTATAGAAATTATTCAAGTTTTTTTTTAAATGTCAATGTGCTCGAGCCCAAACAGTTCGTTGCAAAAAGCCATTTTTAAGCAATTCAAAGATTAATATATCTTGTTGTCTCGAGTCCAAATGTTTCTATTCGGCAGCCGTCAATCACTTTTAATCACATTTAAAAAATAAATATCTTACATTGTAACAAATCTCTTCTTGGCTGTAGCCTCAATGATTATAAATTAATGTTTTCATTTATATGCAAATAGTAAACATGTGGCTCATGTTTAGATAATTAAACCGCTTGTAATAAGTGATAATATTCACACAACATATGTATGGCCCCTAAATATATGTATAACCACCACGAACACATTTATTAAAATTTACATGAACGTATAATAGAACGCCTTTGGCAAAAGTAAACCCCAATTGACAGCATCCCCACTGCACACCTTGGCACAGTCGAGTTCAGCGGGGTGCAACTTTAATTATCACCGCGGCATTCAATTCCCATTCATTTAACTTCGCGCACAGCCACAGCGCCAACACTCGTGCGCGGTGCGCGTTAACCCCCTCGCTCATCAGAAGTCAAAGGCTTCCACCACAGGCAGAAACACAAATCCTGAGAAAGTCGGCTCCTGCCTGAGAAAACTCATGCGGTGTCCAGGTAAAATTTGTGTAACGATCGGACAATAATCCGGCATTGATCGGGCAACCGTCGGGCAACAATCAGACGTCGATCGCGCAACAATCGTGCAACGTTTGAGTCAAATCAATCAATGATGGGGCAGGAATCAGGAGATGATGAGAAAAAAATGAACGACTGCACCGCAATCGTGCGTTGATCTGGAAAAAGTCGAAGGAAAGTTGCGCAACAATTAGGCAATGATCAAGCAGCGATCAGGAGATAATCACACCACAATCATTCGACAATCATGCGAACAACAAAATGGGGTGACTGGGTGATGGACCATACACCGCTATCACCGCTCCTTGGCCACATCCTCCGTGAAGGCTGCCAGCAAGGCATCGGCCGCCGCCCCGGGTGCCAGCAGCCCCTCGGCAACGCGGGTTTCCAGCTGGGTGGCACGGGCGCGCACGACTGGGTGAGCGAGGAAGAGTTCCAGGACGCCGTCGCGGATGAGGGAGCGCATCCAGGAGGTGCGCTGGGCACGCCGCCGTGCCTGCAGGGAGCCTGACGACAGTCCAATTTCACGGAATTCCAGAGCCACGTCCCACAGCTCCGGCACACCCTGGCCCGTCTGCGCGGAGACGCGCAGTACCTGTGTGTGCACACGTGTTGGCGATGTGCCGTATTGTTAGGAATATGGTAAGGCTGGTGCAGAGGTCAGAGACACAGCGTATCAGAATATGATGTGTCCACCTATGTCATCTCGAGGATGCACTGTGGTTGTGTGGCCATGACATGGAGCGTGTGACTTGGTCTCACCCGAGGCTTCCACGTGGGCAAGCGCTGGCGCATGAACTTCAGAGCGCTGGTGTACTCCGCCTGAATGTGCCTCGCCTGCGGCAGGAGGTCACCGTCTCCCTTCGTCACCACCACCGCGTCCGCCACCTCGACGATGCCGCGCTTGATGCCCTGCGATGGGGTACACAGCGTCGCCATCCAACAGGCACAATACAGGCCGCGGTGGGTTTTTTTGTATATGCTGCCAGTAGAACACGTCATCTTCAGACTAAAGGGGCAAACAATAGTGTACAAAAGAGTGAGGACGAATGAAAACTAAACTATTGTAAGGGGATAAAATACAACTATTTAATCACAAGCACAGGTGGTGGAAAATTACTTATTATATTATTACCCATAATCCTCAATAACAGTGGATGAGTTTTCATTCTTATGTAGGAAGTAACAAATAATTTGTATTGGCTGGATCTGAATTGGGAGAGATGAATCTTCAGATGCCGAGGTTTTGGGGAATGGGTAGATAGTGGATTAATACAGGGATCATAATGGGGGGCACAAGGGAGTAGAGGGTGCTAGGAATAATAGAGCTGACCTGGAGTTCATCGCCAGCTCCGGGAGGGATGAGCAGCAGGAACATGTCCACCATGTCAGCTACGGCGAACTCCGACTGCCCCACACCTACCGACAAAGGGGCAGGATTGGCTCAGACGCAAACCTCCCACTCTGCTTCACAGCATCAGAAGATACAAAGATTACCACTTACTTTATTGAAAACATTTGCCCCAAATGTATCACAATTGTACTAATGACACGTCACCAGACAACGTATCCAATCGGAATCCTCGCAGAGCAAGTGCCGCCCTTTGTGTTAAACAACTGCCCGAGGAAATGGATGTCACAGAGCTACCTCTGAGATTCACTGAAGTGGCCTCTGGTTCACACAGTACGGGGTAAGCACTTTCCCACGAAGAATAATGTTCATCAATTCATATTTTTTTATTCTCAGAGCTGCAAAGTAGACAATTTAAGCGTAGAAGCACATTGAATGTGATGCGCTTTTTATATAGGTATTGGTAAGTGGACAGAGATAATGTCGTTACACTTGAAACACAATTTAATCATGGGTATCTGAAACCTGGATTCGAATCGAGCAGTCTGGCTTAGCAATCTGGCCTCTGAGCCACCCAGCCACCTCCAGAGTTTCCCACTTCAACCAGACAGACAGTAGAGGCAATTGAGCCACAAGTGAGTCAACGATCGGTGAAGCAAGCGAGCGATTGGCTGGGCGAGTGACCAGTTTAGTGTTTGAGCGAGTGAGCGAGCGAGTCAATCAGTTGGGTGAGCGATCGGCCAAGTGGACGACCGTTTGAGCGAGCGAGCCGGAGTCTCACCCACAGTCTCCACGAGCACGGTGCTGTAGCCGGCCGCCTCGCACACGACGATCGCCTCGTTGGTGGTTCGCGTGACGCCGCCCAGCGTCCCGCTGCTGGGTGATGGGCGCACGTACGCGCGCATGTCACGTGACAGCAGGGGCATGCGCGTCTTGTCGCCCAGCAGCGAGCCTGCCCGGCAGCAGAATGTCACGAAGAGCTAAATGTTTATGCGCTGGCAAACGTTCCTTGTCAGTGTTGCCAACTTGATTTTTTTGGCTAGATTTCATAACTTTTTGGGTTTCTGTAGCAAACAACTGAGATGAGGACAATTATGCAGATTTAGGAACCATTCCAGATTCATATTCTGTCTTGTATAAGTTTACTGCTCATACCCGGCACGCCATCTGATTACATTTTTGATGACTAGGTCTATCTGGCCACATCTAGCAACTTCTAGAGGTTGGTTTGACAACATTGCGCAAAAGGAGTTGGCAACACTATTTCTTCTCATGCGAGTTTCTCTGCTGTGGTGCAGAACCCCCTGGGGCCCACACCTCCAGAGGTGCTGGAGGAGGGATCCACAGCAAGCACGGCCAACTTCTCTCCTCGCGTCGTCAGCATCGTCCCCAGGGCCTCGATAAACGTCGACTTCCCGGCTCCGGGAGGCCCTGACAGTCCTGGTGCAAACGACACACCAATACTCTGTTTAATCCAGAGACCTGTGACCTGGCAAATGGACGAGGTGAGAGCTGGTGGATCATGCAGAGATTTGTGAAATTGCAAATCGACTGGGCTGAGTCTGATTCACAGCCACGGAGATCAGTAGTGAGTGAGATCTGAACCAGTTCTGGGTATCCCCCATCACAACCCGCACTGAACAACGTGAAGTAGATTTTCATTTAAAGCTTTCGTGACTGCAGGGATTCATATTCTTGGTTCTTTCGCTAAAGTCACGTATAAGGGAAATAATAAAATAATACAAATATAAAAAATAAAAATTATCACGTCGTATCGACTGCAACACGAGCAATCATCATCAGGTGTGAAATCCACTACGTGACTTTACCGAAAGAACCAAGAATATAACGTGAAGTAGGTTCAAACAACCAACTCGGTGTGGGGATGCCTTCATCTAATAGCAGATCGACAAAACAGCTCTAAATTGTTATCTGCACATTATAATCATAACCTATTATATATGTATGTAGGATCGCGGGAATTGCCAGGAGTAAATATGGGACAAGTCGACTGTTTGGGGGACAGGGAGTTGAACCTATGCGGAAGGTCTCGGGCCGCCCCTCTGTACTCCCTTCCCTTTCCCTCTGGCGGTGAAGCAACCGCCCCAGCAGCTGCCCGGCGAGTTGGCGGTGGCGCGGGAGCGTGGACTCGGTGAGGGTGATGGCCTCCGCCAGGCACGCGCGCTGCCCGCTCACCAAGCCATCGTAGAGATACGACAGCCGGTGCTCCTCTCGTGGTGACAGATCCGCACCGGCGGGTTCTGTGGTGCACATACGGACATACGCGCACGCACGTGCAGACGAAGACGCACGTATGAAGACAAAGATATAGACAAACACACACATGCAAAGAGAGACAAATACAATCACATAGACAAAGATAAAGTGCGCCGCCCATATAGTCTCTAACAGACTGTTGGGAGAATGCTTTCAGTGAGCACCTATTAAGGCCGAAACGACATACAAGAGGGATGGGTGGCTGCTTTTGTCTCCCCAATGCAAATGTTTAAACAAATCGCCAGGTACTCATGTAAGGCTCAGTCAACCTAGGGGAGGGCCAAAACAAGTCCAATAATCACTTGCCACTTCCGGCAGCCACGGCCTTGAGTCGAACCGAGGTTGCTGGGTTCACATTGCTAACCGCTACTGCCATTGCATCACAACATTTACAAACGTGGACACGAGCGCACACGTGCGTACAGCAAGTAGGTTACAAGGCTATGTGAGCGCAGTTTTGCATCCTATCGATTGTGTGCAGTGTCTCGAAATTTGCTCCCACAGGCAAAATATAAAACAATCATTGGCCAAACATTCCAAACACAAGACCTTCTTTAAATTGAATCTTGAGTTTCACAGTAGGCTCGGTGGAATTTCCAGCAAGTTGCTGTGGAGGGTGAGAAAAAGGCATCTGTACGGACTTTGCAAAGTTAAATGAACATGAGGACACTGACTTTACACAGACTGCATCACAGTTAATGCATGTGACCTTGTGCAACAGCACACTGCATACAACGCTATGCCATGCAGCAATTTACACACTGTCAAAAACACATTCCTACAATGTGAATACAACTACGTGATATACACCGTATCACACGCGTGGCATCTAACGTAACATATCATATCACATCACGCCACATAACCCAGTACACATGGAACGTTGGAATAACGTTGGTCCAACGATTCCAAACACATTGCATGTTTACGTGGAAAAACCTCATACACATGCATTCACGCATGTGAAATATCATATCGCACACATCACACATGATATCACAGCACAACTTAATTCCACACATCATACATTACACGGACCATACTCCATCACACCACCCATCGCATCATACTTCTTCTACATTACTCCCACACACACATCACACCAACCAAATCACACCGCCCATCACAAATGACGCCATGTCACACACACACGTCACAACGTCACCCACACCACCCGCTTAATACAAACAACCTCCCATCATACCACAACATCCCATCGCTCAGTCACACACATCACCCCCCCATCCTCACATCATCAAACACATCACCCACTACACACCCACACCAACATCACCCACTCTCACATCATCCCCCCATCCTCACACCATCAAACACATCACCCACTACACACCCACACATACCTCAACATCACCCCCCATCCTCACATCATCAAACACATCACCCACACACACCACAACATCACCCACGACACACCACATCACCCAGTCTCACATCATCATACACATCACACACACCACATCACCCACTACACACCCACCTCAACATCACCCAGTCTCACATCATCAAACACATCACCCACACACACCACAACATCACCCACGACACACCACATCACCCAGTCTCACATCATCATACACATCACACACACCACATCACCCACTACACACCCACCTCAACATCACCCAGTCTCACATCATCAAACACATCACCCACACACACCACAACATCACCCACTACACACCACATCACCCAGTCTCACACCATCAAATACATCACCCACCCACAGCACATCACCCACTACACACCCACCTCAACATCACCCACTCTCACACCATCAAACACATCACCTACACACACATCACCCACTACACACACACCTCAACATCACCCACTCTCACACCATCAAACACATCACCCACACACACCACAACATCACCCACTACACACCACATCACCCAGTCTCACACCATCAAACACATCACCCACCCACAGCACATCACCCACTACACACCCACCTCAACATCACCCACTCTCACACCATCAAACACATCACCTACACACACATCACCCACTACACACACACCTCAACATCACCCAGTCTCACACCATCAAACACATCACCCACACACACCACAACATCACCCACTACACACACACCTCAACATCACCCAGTCTCACACCATAAAACACATCACCCACACACACCACAACATCACCCACTACACACCAACACACACCTCAACATCACCCACTACACACCCACACACCTCAACATCACCCACTCTCACACCATCAAACACATCACCCACACACACCACAACATCACCCACTCTCACATCACCCCCCATCCTCACACCATCAAACACATCACCCACTACACACACACCTCAACATCACCCAGTCTCACATCACCCCCCATCCTCACATCATCAAACACATCACCCACACACACCACAACATCACCCACTACACACCCACCCCTCAACATCACCCACACACACCACAACATCACCCACTACACACCCACACACACCACACACACCACAATCCCCCCGCGCCCTCTCACCCGCAGCCCGCCTGTGAGCCGCCCGCGCTCCCCGCCCTTCCTCTCCCCGCCCGCGGCCTCTGTGTCCAGTCAAGACCGAGGCTCTGTTGGGGCCCTCTAGGCCCCAGTGAATGTCCCGGCCTGAGGGTCCAGACGGCAGCCGCTGCGCCCCGCGAAGGAGAGGGCGGCCCAGCGTGCCCGCCACCACCCTCAGCTCCAGCATCGCGGGCAGGCGGTGTTGTTTACTGCTTACTCAGACTGTTGTCAGTGTTGTATAACAGTGGGTCGTTTAGTCGCTGCTGTTAACTGTAGCACAAGAATTTGTCCTTAGCGGTGTAAGAATCGATTCCGACGTCACGGTTTCAATGCGGCCCGGAATCGAGAATCGATTACGATCGGGTGCATGATTTTTTTGTTATCCGCCTGATGAAGCTGGTTGTAGAATCGCGGGCGAAAGCTCAGGGTCGGTGCTCAAATTGTACACGTTGTTGGGTTTGCTGTACTTCAGCAGCACACTCCGGGTTGTGTGGTGAAGTAGTAACTATATATTATTGGGTCTTTTGGTAAAGTCAAAGTAAATAACAAAAAAATACAAAAACCTACGTTTTGATCGCAACACAAGCGTTCGTTATCAGGAAGAACTAATCTGCACGTTATGTTTAAGTGACAACCCGTTACCCATTGGCTGTGTCGGGTGGTGGTGGGTTAACGACACATTTATATTTATGCGATATAAACCCCCCCCCCCCTTATTATAGATAATGGTCGCAAAATTGTACGTGCTAAAACGGGTACAGTATTGTATTTGTTGTACCGTCTAGGTTTGTTAACCGGTAACTCGTCATAATCCATGACATGTTCAGAATATCAGCAACCTGGTATTTGATTCCAGTGGAATGTGGCGTACAAACGGCACGGCGGCCTGAGTCACCGCGTGGTAGATTTACCCTCGTTTCGAGGTGGCTTGGAGATGTTAACCTCCTCGCCTGGTATGCAGGAGGTCGTGGGATTGATCCGCACGCTGACGCCTGCTGCTGTATATTTGGAGTTTGCGTGTCGCTCTCATCATTACAGTGACTGAGATGTTAACTACCTCGCCTGGTATACAGGAGGTCGTGGGTTCGATCCCGACCCTGACGCCTGCTGTATATTTGGAGTTTGCGTGTCTCTCTCTCATCATTACAGTGGCTATGAGATGTTAACTACCTCGCCTGGTATACAGGAGGTATCCCAGGGGCTGGTTATCACACAGCGTTATTAACACAACCTCCCGAGTTCGATTTCTGGCCACAGCTAAAATCAGTGTTGAGTCATGTATGAACCGGCCCAAGGCTCCAATTCACCAACGTGTATGCTGTATGTTGAACATCTTTCGCACCGTACGTAGCCAACCGTGCTAATCGGAGGTGTTGAAGGACAACAATCTAAACACAAAAACCAATTCTATTGAAATGAGTTTTCAACAGACTTAAAAGTGCACAAGTCCAGAGGCCTCCTCATATCGGGAAAGTGTTCCAGACGGCCGCAGAAGCGCATCTGAAAGCGCGAGATGCAGTGACCGTCTTTGTTCGATGGTTAGACAAGAGACGCTGCGAGGATGACTGCAGCTCGCGGGATGGTTTATGCTCCTTGACGAGATCCGCAAGGAATTGCAGTTCATGTGGCAAGCATGGTGATTTTTTGTTAAACAACCCCCATTACCAACACTTGCGTAGAAAGGCCTTCATCCAGCAGGGCATTTATAAATGCCTGCATTACATTATATGCAGGCAGGGAATTCAATCCTGTACTTTATAATTGAGTGGCCACTTTAACATTTCTGTAACTATCGATTTGACAAATGTACAGAACCTAGGCACATGTTTTGTACATATCGATGGTATGGGAACTTAAATAGGAATTGTTCCAAACACAAAAAACAAATCACTGCTTTGTACAAAAAAACATTGCCTTTATTTTAAAACGCATTTATGTACAAAATAATATGCACGCCACTATTCTGCACTGTGCAACGCAAGTCGGTACACATTCACACAACTGATTAACAGATGTACATGTTTATTACAACGTAGATCAGGGCTTACAGGTCACACTTTACCACGAGTAAAGTACTCGATCTATTCACGTGCAGTCTGTTCTCCTATAACGCCGCATTTTCACAACGCAAATTGGATATGACGTGATGAATGTATTAGGGTGCGCATTTTTTTCATGACGCTGATGTGAATTGGATATCACGCGATTGAGCGAACAGAACTACGTCGCACGAGTCGGAATAAGCCGTTGTACGGCTGCCTCGGCATAGCATCAACCAAGGCGGGATACTTCTCGACAGAGGTCGCAAACGGGTTTTGATTCCTTACCCGTACCCGGCCGCACCAGGGTCACAAACGGGTACCCGATTGCGACCTCTGGGATGAAGTCATGTTGCAGGCACGGGTGGGTTGATTCGAGGAACTTGAATTGTGAGAAGAGACAAGACGTTGGGAAATGAGTGACAAACGGTGACTCACCAGTAACTCACGGCCTACCCGTACCCGGCCGCACCAGGGTCGCAAACCGGTACCCGTACCCAGCCGGGTATCGGGTCGGGTACGGGTATCGGGTACCCAATTGCGACCTCTGCTTCTCGATCAGTGGTTCTTAACCTTCCGGAAAGGGCATCATCTCGCACCCCCAGGGCGTGCGTGCACTCCAGGTTAAGATTGAGGCGCGTGCTATCCACGCGCCTCAATCTTTGTTCAGCCTGCACAATCCGCATCTCACGTGTTATCGCGGACTGTGCTTTAGCCCGTATTATTAGAACGTGATTTTTCTATAATGCGGTGTTTTACAGGAACGCAACTACCGCGTTATAGGAAAACAGACTATCGGAGAAGTCACATTATCATTGCACCACAAGACTTGTCTTGTTTCACTGTGAATATCACAGCCATACTAAAAAAATAGACGACTGAAAATAAACAATTACAACTATGCGATTGGTTGGATCCCTTCCGACCTTTCTGGTTTACAACGAAAACAGCACAGCAAATGGTCACTACAAGAAATAACACTTTTTGAGAAATTCACACGTATGTGACAAGGCCATTTTATCAAGTAGGATCTTATGTTTGGCATGTAACGATTTTCCCTCCTCATCATGGTTTTACGCCAAATTTATTGGAGGGACGGTTCGCCGATGGCGCCCCTGTGGCTTGACCATTCGCAGTTGACAGGGAGATTCCTGCGTGCATAACTGTACTGCTTGCGGTGATGCTGCCGCGAAAGGAAATACGCGTCATCTTGTCTCCATCTAGTCTCCCAAGCAGCCCATGGCGGGTCCCAGGTGATGTATTCCCAGCCTCCAGTGTGGCAGCGACGTTTGGCCACGTGATTTTTCTTCCCGTCATGTACAATACTGTACACTACCGTACACGGATGTGTACAGTATTGTACAATACATTAGTTTTTTTATTCTATACATTTACCGTACAAGCTGTATTTAGCGTTAGAAAATATTAATCGTCAACCTACTTTTCACATTTGCCTTCGAGTTTGCGGATTTACTGATTGCGGATATTTTCAAGAACGTAACCCTCGGGGATGGGCAAGGGTTTGCTGTATGATTCGAGCGATTCGATGCGTGTATTGTGGGCGTAACAACCAATGGAAAGGAACTACTGGAAGTGATAGAAGTTGGTCTAGAAGTAGCGCTCCAGAAATAAAACCAGAGCAAGCAAAATGTTAGGTAAAATGTAAGTTACATATAAGTTCAACAAACCATCAAAGATTATCTCTCTGTCAGGAGTGTACGAGCAGGTTTTGGTGCTTTTGCAAATATGAACTTACTAATGAAACGTAACGTACCAATGTGCCTCGATAAGAATATTTCTAATCAGTGTATACTATCCGATATAACTTAAACATGGGCATGGAAAAACTAAATGCAACAGGAGCGGAAAAGTGTGCAAGAAACATGGCAAGGTGCGTGCTTGGAATTACACTGAAAGAAAGAGGAACACAGAGCAGAGAGCAGACGCAAGCCAGACACATCATATTGGTTAAGAGGCCTTCAGAACAGTAACACGTCACTGAAAAGGATGATGACATAGTGGTCGAGCCTAACGATTGAGTGGCAGCCAAAGGAGAGAGAACATGTCCAAGTGGATATCCATCGCCAAGATTGAGCGATTAAATCAGCTAATCGTGAATTGGGTGGATTGTTATACACTGCGGGATCGCGAGGGAAGGGAACGCTTTGGGGCAAGCCTTTATCCAGCAGTGGATAGTTCATGGCTACTGATGACTGTGAACATAATCATCATTTATAAATCGATACATCATTACACGCCTAGTTGATATCGTGGAAGAGATCCGTGCTCGGACGGTCACACCTCCGCGCATCCGAGGCCTCCGCGTGGCCCCCCCGGCCTTCACACCTCCACGTCGCTCTCCCGGTCGTTGTCCTGATCTCCGTCGTAAAACTCGTTGGCCGCATCGGGCCTGCTCGCCGCGAGACACATCGCGTGGCGTCACGGGTAGGCACTCGACGGCGTCACAGAGCAACGCCGTGAACGCAGAACACAAACACGTGACCAACTGGGGACGAATGGATGGACAGGAGCCTATGGGGCAATTGCATCGCAAGCTGATCAGTCCATTAAATAGTCACCTGTCAATTATGCAGGGTAATGGGGGAGGGAGGGGTGGCCCGGATAAAGCAAAAACAATACAACAAGAACATGTAAATTAGGCGATGCAAATCTATTGGTACGACGTATGTTTCTTGCGGTTGTGCCCGAGCGTTGTTCGACAATATATCTAATGTTTCACTCCACGTGCTGGCAACTTTCTGGACACTGTGTGCCACATGTAGCCTATGGGCTGTACAAAATGAAGATGTGGGCCGGTTTCGGCCCGCAGGTCCTAAGATCCTTACCTCTGAGCTAAGCAATACGCGTGTCCGTGTATGAGTAGGTGAGTCTATGGGCAGGCAAGTGTGTGTACGGGTAGGTGTGTGTTCGTGTAGCGGTTAGCACGCTGCGCTACAAACCTGGCAACCAGAGTTTGATTCCCGCTTACGGCCAACACCAGTGACGATTATCTGAACCGGTCATGGGCGTCTCCTAGGTCGACTCAGCCTCAAATGAGTACCTGGTGCGGTGCGTAAAAACATCGCCACGAGGGAGACAAAGGCGGCCGGGCGTGGTGCTGGCCACCCACCCCCTCGTGTGCCGTTTTGGCCATCATAGGTGCTCGCTAACAGCACTTGCGCCTACAGTCTAAGGCTACACGGGGGATCTTTGTCTTTGTGTATGGGTAAGTGTGTATGGATATGGTTAATTTCGTGTGTGGA